TAAATGGGCAGGTCGTGATGGTTAGTCATGCCTCAGGCATATAACTTTTTAGTAAAATGTTTATCATTGCCTTAAGTAAGCTCAGCACATTGCTTTTATGCATCTAGGTTAACACACCTTTGAAATAAGCCATCACCATCCTCAAGAAAGCATATTAACTTGTTAACTATTTTGTAATCCACTTCCCACCTTTACCTCTCCCACTTCCACGTAATTTTCCTTACATCCCCTCCTTAATTTCCAATGCATCAATGAAGCTGCAAAGCCATTATTCTCCAGAGCATTTGAGATCTTGCTCCCTGGCATATGTCCTCAGTTTGACTCAAATATACTCATAAAAATTCTCTACAGGCTTAGACATTTCTTACATCCACAAAATAAGATAATAAGGAAAAGCACCTAGTACAGTGTCTGAAGCACTAAGTGGTTCATATGAGGCATCTGCTAAAATTATTATTTTAATAGTAGGAGTAATAGGAGAAGAAAAAGGAGGAAGAAGGAGAAGAATAATAGGTAAAGGAGGAGGAAGAGGAGGAGGAGGAGAAGAGGCAAAACAGCAACCCTGGCTGGGGGGCTCATCCCATACAACAAAAAGTTGGAACATCCTCCCATACAACAAAAAGTTTCAGGTCATGGAACATACAAGGTTTTGGGTTAGATCCCCAGTTGGGGCACGCATATAGGAGGCAACTGATTGATGTTCCTCTCCCCCTCTCTCTCCCTTCCTCTCTATCTAAAATAAACAAACATATCCTTGGGTGAGGATTTAAAAAATATGTCCACTGCCCTAAAATTGTCAACCTCTTCTCTCCTCCCTCCTTCCTAGCCCGAGGAAACCACTGATGTTTTCACTGTCTCTGAAGTTTTGCCTTTGCTGCAGTGTCATATAGTTGAAATCATACAGGATTAGTTAGATAGCCTTCTCAGAATGTTTTTTTTTTTCATTAGCAATATGAATTTAAGTTTACACCATGTCTTTTCATGACTTAAGAGAGGTTTTTTGTGTGCTGAAAAAATATTCTATTGCCTGGCTGTACCACAGTTTCTTTATCCATTCTCCACTGAGGGAGATCTAGATGCTTTCAGGCTTTGGCAATTATAAAGAAAGCTGCTATACATATCCTCGTACAGGTTTTTGTGTGGATATAAGTCTTTCATTTAAGCTTTCAACTCCTTTGGGCAAACACCGAGAAACGTAACTGCTGGATCATGTAAGAGTATGATTATATTTATAAGAAAATGCCAAACTGTCTTACAAAGTGGCTGGCATCACTTTTCATTCTCACCAGCAATGAATGAGTGTTTATGTTGCTCACATAACTATAATATTAGGTAACTGTTTATATTTCTAAGTTTTTGAAAATGATTATTACAAATACTACTAGCCTGAGAAAATGACCTTTTCAAGAATTGTATATCCAATGTATACCTGATTAGAATGCAAATTCCTTTGGGAACATAATTTATACAAAAAAAAATTTTTTTAGTTGGAGTTACACGGGTCAATAAAACCATACACATTTCAGGGTTACAACTTTAACACCTCTTCTCCCTACTACATCTTGCACTCACCACCCAAAGTCAACTTTCTTTCCACCACCCTTTATGCCCCCTTTGCCCTCCTCCACCTCCTCCCACCTTCCTTTCTCTCTGGTAGCCATCATACTGTTAGGGGCATTATTTTTACAAAATACATTTATCTTTATACACATTTTGAAGTATCAAATTCCCTAAAAAAGATACTATTTGAAATAATTTAGTCTACAATGCCAATTTTATTCCAAATCACAGATATCTCTGTATGATTTCTAAAGGGTAAGAGTTAAATGAGAAATTAAAAAATTTGAAAGTGCCCAATTTCTGATACAACCTTCTTTGCAATTTCTAACCAATGGAATAGGAAACAAACAAACAAAAAAAAAACAACAACAACAACACAATAGTACCTTCTGAGTATGACTATTAGTTAAAACTAATGCATGTGGAGGATTTTTAGCAATGCTTCTCACAATAATTTAAATGTTTTTATATTGAGTTCAGTTTTAGATGTATGCAAAGATTGAGGTTATAATCATCTTAATTTTGTGATTTGAAGAATTTAAAGATTTATTTTAAGATTAAATACTTCCTACTCTAAAAGAGGGAGCATTCTGTAATATTTTTTTAAATGCTCCTACTTAATGAGGGATTTCTTCTTTCTCTGCTTAAAATGAAAAAAACAATTTTGGCCCAATCCTTCTAGCTTAGAAACTATCTGTTATTTTCATATTTATAATGCCACAATATTCTGAGAAATATATGAGAGTCACTAAATGTCAGTATAACTACAAGGGCCTATGATTTTTGTCATCCCTACCCACATATGAATCACTTGCTTTATCTGAAAATGTAATCATCCTTTATATTCCAGTATTAGTATTATTCCCTCTGTGAAGCCATATTAGACTTATACACACCAATGTCACTCTTATAAACTCTGCAAATCACAGCAATCTGCTTATGCTTCTTGCATCAAACATTGCTGGTTGCTCATCTAGCAGCCGCTGCTGTTCCGCAGACACACTTCACATTATCTATAATACTCTAATAATAAAAGTGTAATATGATAATTAGATGGGACAGCCAAATGACCTTCCAGACATTGTTCTAGACAAAGTTGCGGCCACAAGGGCCGAAGCAGGAGCGGTTAGGGGCCATCAGGCAGGCAGGCCAGTGGTCAGGTAGAATCGGGCAAGCAGGAAGAGTGTTTAGGGGTGATCGGGGATGCAGAATGGTTAGGGAAATGAGGCAGGCAGAGTGGTTAGGAGTGATGAGGCTGGCTGGCAGGCAACTAGTTAGGGACAATGAGGCAGGCAGGCAGAGTGGTTAGAGACAATCAAGCAGGAAAGCATGCAAGTGGTTAGGAGCCAGCAGTCCCAAATTTTGAGAGGGATGTCCAAATGATGGTTGGACATCCCCTGAGGCATCATGGATTGCGAGAAGGTACAGGCTGGGCTGAGGGATTCCCCCACTCTCCCATGCACAAATTTCGTGTGTGGGGCCTCTAGTAGAATATAAAGATACAAGGTGTTTTATCTTGCAATGCTGCTTTTCAAATGTAATCAGTGGCACTTGACAGAGTCTACAAGGAGGTTTTTAGAGAAGGTGTCAGGCTTAGAACATCAGGCATGCACAGATAAGTCAACTTATATCCTTGAAGGAATGAACTTGGGATTGAAAGTCTGTGGACTGGAGACAGAACTACAAGAAGGAACTTCCCTATCTCTTCCATGGTTTTTGTCACAGAATTCAATGTGCACCTCCTTCCTTGTTGCTGTGTGTGATAATAAACCCTTATTGTTTAAGGCAATTTTGGTCTCATGTCTCTTATTTAGTTCTGATATGCTACTAATAGACCACATTCTAATTTATTGGCATGGGTGGTGGACAATGGATAAGTATTTGTTGAATAAAAGCAATAGAGAATTATTTTCCCTTTCCTATCTGGATGCTGCCTGACAAGAACACTGCTACCTACTTCAGGAAGTAGCTGGAAGGGAGAAAGGCCACAGGCATGTGCATTGCACAGGTTAAACTACTCTGCATGGGTTTCACACGCAGGGTATTTAATTTTAAACCATAGGTAAAATCATTAAGCTAATTTATTGCAGCTTATGCAGATTGTGCAGCAGTTAAGGTTTATATTGACTAAGCTTTATTTTAGCCACTAGAATGAATAAAATAACATAAACTACAGCCAAATACCAAATTCTGATTTTAGAAGTGATTTCTTCCATTCATTCATTGTTTTCTTGTTCTCAATACATCTCTATTATAGAGCAGAAATCCCCTTGGATTATAGGGTTTTAATTAGGTTGTTCCTTTAACATGTTTTATGCCTCAGTACTTTTTATGCCCACTTCCACTCTGATACCGGCTTTATATAAAGCTGTCCTTGTGAAGCATCCATTTTATATAAAAACTGCTGTTTGAAATTTTAACCCTGCTATTTGGCTTCTGTAGATGCTTGATTGCTTAAACAGTAAGGAAAACAAGACTACTCCCACTTCAGAGAGGACATTAAACCTTCCCAAGATGAAATTATCAGTGCTGGCACCAGGTCAGGCCTTTGGTTGAAGTCTCCTGGTCCCAGCACATAGGGGCTCTTTAAGAACTTGCAAAGGGGACTGGAAACACCCCATATTTGGGAGACAAAGAAAGTAAAATCATATAAATATCCCCCTAACTGGTTTGGCTCAGCCTTCAGAATGAAAGGTCCCAGGTTTGATTCCTGTCAAGGGCATGTACCTTGGTTTTAGGCACATCCCCAGTAGGAGCTGTGTAGGAGGCAGCTGATTGATGTATCTCTCTTATCGATGTTTCTCTCTATCCCTCTCCCTTCCTCTCTGTAAAAAAATAAATAAAATATATATTTTAAAAAAACATATAAATAGGGAAAATTTTCTCCATTTTGGGGCCCACAATTTGAGAGATATTTTCCTCTGAACCCGAGTGTAATAAATGTAACTCCATCTCTCTAATTACTGCTTGTTTTTTCTCTGGTTTTCTGTAACATTAATGGTTCCCTGAGCTGGGGAACAACTGTGCTTGGCCTTTTGGGCTCCGGTGAATGGGCCAGGCTCTGGGGAGCCGGATAGGCCTCTGGGAGGTGTCACTCTGCTGATTTGCAGAATTGAACCCGGGGACTCCGGGAGCTCCTGGACCTCAGCCCAGGGCCTGGCTGGAATCTGGAGAGAGTGGACTGACACTTCTGGACCTGTCGACAGAATCTGTAAGGTAGGGGCCCTTATCGGTCAGGCCCATTCTGAGGGAGTGAAAGAGGGAGCTTGATCACCTCCCCAGAAGTCAAGGACTTCCTCAGGCAAATTAATCAGGAATCAGGTGGACTGTTTAAACTCTAGGTAAATATTTGTTAGAAGTAAAAAAAAAACCTCTGTCTGGTATATAAATGTGGGACTCTTGAGGTGAATGAAGGAATTATGAGTTAGCCCTGCCTTTAGTTTGTATGGGACTAGCCAATTTGCTATGAGAAGGGGGACTGGATGCAGTCTTAACTCCTCCGGTAGGTTCTCACCAAGATGTTGGTGGAGAATTCTGTTCTGGGGCATGGGTGCAGGGAGTGCCCCCATGGCCATCTAGGGAGTTGTGCATTGTTTCATTTATCTGCTCAGCTCCAGTTTGGGCTAGTTTACTGAGAGAGTATGAGTAGAGATGTTTGTCTGTCTTGGCATAATTGTCTACTCATTAACTGATCTGTGTGAAGCAAAAGCCACTTTGTGCCTTCTGGCTGTACCCAGGAAAGATAGGGCTGATTTGCTGTGACAGAACGCAAAAGTCTTTAGCAGCTGTGAGGAGAGAAGTTTCATTCTTAAATTCTGGGAATGGACATGAACTGACAGTGTTGTTGGGTGTTTGTGTGCTTGTTTGTTTGAATTGATTTCAGAGAGGAAGGGAGAGGGAGAGAGATAGAAACATCAATGATAAGAAAGAATCATTGATTGGCTGCCTCTTGCATGCCCCCTACTAGGGATTGGGCCCACAATGCAGGCATGTGCCCTTGACTGGATTGAACCTGAGACCCTTCAGTCCACAGACTGACACTCTATCCACTGAGCAAACCAACCAGGGTCTGATAGTGTTTTAAAGTTCTGAAGTGATCAAGCTACCATAAAGTCAAGGAGCCTGAAGAGGCCGAGGAGTAACTCTTCTGACTGTGATTAAAACAGAGAGTAGTCAATGAAAGTAAAGTTGTTTTTGTTTATTTTATCCCACCATCTGTGCTTAAACATTAGAATAGCATTCACAGGAACAAGGCTGCCTTCACAAGGGGGCACTGTTTTCTCAATATATCAGCGCTGTTATGAAATGCACATACTAGAGCACACCTGCTGACTTAGCCTCCTCACACTCTCAGTACAGTTCTAACCATAGGCAGTATTATCTTTCAGGGCTCTGACACAACCACTGTGGTGGGTCTGCTTGGATTCCAGGCAGAATGCACATTTACAAGAACTGTTTCCTCAGAAAAAGGAAGCTGTGGTCTCAGAAGCAAAGGAAGACACTGGTTTGGTGATGTAAAATTTTTAAAAAGACATGAGAAGGATATAAAATTGCAATACACCACAAAACCTACAGAGCTTCTCAGGTGACAGAGAAATTGCACCGATCGATTTTAACATCCCATTAAGGCCAGCCAGTAAACCAGAGAATGTGTTGTCTGCAACAATGAAGCATTTCTCTGGAGATTCCGCTTTGGTAGAATAAATAAAAAGGGGCAATTCCTTCTATTAATTCGGTTCACTCTGGCCATTGATAGGAATAGAGTCGGATTACTGCAAATCTTACACTTGGGGGAAAAGACTACTATAACTAAATAGAAGTTGGAACACAAAATGAGTGATAAATGTTATGATATAGCCTCAGGTCAATCAAAATATTTCTTTCCAGTAATATACAGAGAACATTGAGTAAATAGATGAAATCTTCATTATGATGTTCAAAATAGTTGAGCTAAAAGTATAAGCATTAAATTTGGGGGTAGAAAGAGATGGATGAGATATGTCCTTCTCCAACTTGTCAGGACAACAATCCCCTTGTTCACAAATACTGCCCAGTAATGTCAGGGGGATGCCCATATGCAACATCAAATAATATTTTGGCCATACTGAGTTTATGTACAAGAGCACTGAAATGTGCTTATTACTCATTGCATTTAATATCTTCTATTAAATTTAAAAGATTTAAAGAAGAATATATACATTTGATCACTAATGTGAAAGCATTTGTTATGTATATGTATATGCATTTGTATATGTATTTGTTATGTATATGGTACAAGATTTGTTTACTTGTTTCCTTAGTAATATTATCACACAATAAAGATTTGGGAACATTAAACTTGCCAGGATTATTGGAAAATGATACAATAGTTCTATAAATATGCATGCATATATTTTATGGGTAAAATTATAAATAAAATGAAACTCGATTATAGTTTATAGTAACAATACAATTAAGTACATGATAAAATACTTTGATGTTTGTTCTTACTATTACATATATAGTTTTTCTTTCTTCCTATACTATTTCCTCTTTGTCCAGAGGTATACTTGATAAATCTTCATGAGTGATATAATAAGAGAGGTGGAAAGGTAAGAAAGGGATCTACCATATTTCCCAGATATCTTTTTGGGAAACTAGATAAAAGGTTCTTCTATTCACTAGATTATAAAGGCCAAAAGTGTTTGTGGGGAAACACTTTGAGTTCCAATTTAATATGTGAGAGATGGAGGAATTACTGTGTTATCAAATAGATATGCTGATTTGATTCTCAGGAATGAGATCCAAAGAGGACATATCACTTTGAATGTCATTAGATATAAACAAGAGTAGATGAGTTCAACCATGAAAGCTATGGACTAAAAAGAGATTCTTCTATGTTTCCATATTGAGGTTATAGGGCTAATATTGACTCTTATGAGAGACATCTTATAAAAGGTAAGACTAGATAGAGCAAAGAAAAGAATTAAATATATTAATAGCTTGGTGATCATTAAGAAAGAGAGTTTCTATGGTTAATCTCATCGAATCAGATAAAATCCAATTAAAAAAAATCTTGAAAGTTTAAACAGTGGGTCCCTGAATCTTGAATATGGCACATGGCTTATTCAGTGAAGAGACAAACCAATCACTTGGTGGTGATATTGGTTTGCAAAATCATTCAGGTTTCAAGTGTACAAGTCAATAAAATGTCACCTGTAGACTGCATCTTGTGCCTATGGTCCCAAGAAAAGTCTCTTGCCTTTCTCATTTAGATTCTGTGGTATTTTATTGAGTACAAAACTGCTTAAATCCTAAATCTGTGTTCTAGACAGATACCAAACTATTTTTTTCTAAAGCAGACAACTCAGAAACATTTAAGTAGATGGTTACACAAAGCACAGAGAGAGAAATATTTAACCTAAAATGAAACAGCAGAAATGATTGCTCTGCTTGTTTTTATCTTTGCCTAGAGCAAAATCATGGACAAGTTCTAGGATCTACCCTGTTTCCCCGAAAATAAGACAGTGTCTTATATTAATTTTTGCTCCCAAAGATGCGCTAGGTCTTATTTTCAGGGGATGTCTTATTTTTCCATGAAGAAGAATACTGTACACATTTATTGTTAAATGAAAATAAAGGAAATTTATTACCTGTATACAGTATGGTAGTACGGTAGTTGTCAACACAAACCAGACAAACTGTGAATCCTACAGTATCAAGAATTTACTCATTTATTCAATGACAATCATGTCATCATCTTCTGGAACACCATCATAACAATCCAATTCCTGAATTTCCTGGTGAATTTCTTGTGACTCCATTTCTTTCAGAATCAGTGGACAAAATCTCTCATGTTTAGCCTAGCGGGGCCTTATTTTCAGGGGGATGCCTTATATTTCACTCAGAAGGAAACCTGTAAGTAGGTCTTATTTTCGGAGGATGTCTTATTTTCGGGGAAACACGGTAAGTGCAGAGAGGTTAATGCTAGGTAATAATGTCTGTTGTTGTTTTAAGACAAGCTAGATTTTGTGTGCTATAACTTGGTGAAGTAGAAACTGATCCCCACAATATCCTTAAATTTAAATGAATTATCAGTTGGTTGACCTATAGAGAAAACCATAATAAATAAGAGTAATTAAGAATTCACTGAGTTGTGCAAGATAAGTAACACTTCATTCCCCTTATTAAAAAAAAATTAAAAAGACTAACAGATTAAAGGAATGATGTAGATGCACTGCTAGTATATCTGTATTTCAGCAAGGTATTTGACAGGAGAATTTTAAAAATAAGAGATGGAGAATGGGTTCCAGGATAACAGAGAATTTAAATTGATTCCTAACTGGTTTAGCTGTGAGTATTAGGTTCTTGAATTAGAAGAGGCCTCAAATAAGTGGAATCAGCAATTGCAAAGGCTTTTCTATTAAAGATTTAATGAAAGTGAGCTTGTCTGGAAAGTCCTGAATTTGTCATTTAGCATCTCACCACCTCCCTGTCTGGCTTCAGAACTGAATTGAGGCTTTGCTCCAGTTAAATGCAAGCTCCTATTGTAAGGCTTAAGGGTGGGGAACTTTTGTTTGTACTCAACAGTGAAAGGAAGTTACCTGATACACTGAAAAACAATTCTTATAGGATTATTGGTTCACACGGACATAAACAATTTGGGGTAAATAAATTTTACTAAACCTTTCAGCCTTCCTCGCTTCTCCTCATAGTATCACACCTGGGACTGGCCACTGAGGCTTCTATTGAGAAAACAAGTGGCAAGCCTATGTATGACTGAGTGGTCCTAGCATGTAGTGATCAGAAATGGTATGGATCTATTTTTTTGCCAAGATAGCAACTTGGCAAAATATCTTTGGATGTATTCCATTAAACACGAGGTATCATTTCTAATAATTTGGCTTCTTGGTTTGCTACAACAATCCCTCAGAGTTATTGTACTCCTTATGCTTTCCAGAGGGGGAATGTCCAGATAAGATCACCAGGCACCACCTTAAACTCTTGATCCAACCAATCCCATACACATCAACCACATGCATATATACATTTGTATACCCATACACACATCTATCTGTATATCATCTATCTATCTATCTATCTATCTATCTATCTATCTATCTATCTAAAATCACACTTGCTGACTTGCACATGAAGTTAAGTACATCTATTCAATCTAATCATTAAAATGAGTTTTCTTAAGAGTTTTTGAGTATCCAATACTACTTCTGAGAGTTAACAGAAATCAGAGAAAACAAAAGACTTCTGAAATGACGGTTTCCAAAATTCCACTATAACTTTTATTAATATATATGGCTGTTGTTTCTTTTAAAATTTACATTATCTACATTTTAAGTTTTACTATTGTTTTTCTATCTATAAGGATAACAGTGAATTTACTTAATTGACAATTTACATATATTTGAACATATATTAATTTTTAAAATATTTTTAAAAATAATAAAATAATATTTACATGTGTCACGTATTGATATGACAGCCAAACATTGATAGGCTGCCTCCTGCAACCACCTACCAGGAATTAAGCCTTCAATCTGTGCATGTGCCCTGACCAGTTATTGAAACAGTAACTTTTTGGTGCATGGGTCAATGCCCAACCAACTGAGCCACACTGGCTAAGGCTGAGCACATATTATTTTTTTAAATGATGCAATATTCATCAA